CCAGCCCAGGACTCTTCCCTCCCAAGGTCGGGGCATTTGTGATGGGAAGAGGCCTCAGGAGGAGCTGTGCCAGGGCTACCCCGCAGCCTGGGGAGGGGAGAGGGAAGGGGCAGAGGGAGCCTCACATGAAGGTGAACGAGAGCTCCAGGTCCCCCCCATCCAGGGCTTCCACCGTCAGGGGGGGCATCTCCTTGGGCCTCTTCTCCTTAGGCAGGCTCTTGTTCATCACCATGGCCTTCACGAACCATGTCTCTGTGTTCTGAGCAGGGCGGGGGCCGTGAGCCCACCACAGGCAGCCAGGTCCTCCTCACCCCCACCCGCCTTTGCCAGTGTACTGGCTGCAGCCCCCAAAGGCAGCTGAGGTCCCACACATCTGCACCCCAGTCTGTCAGAACAAGCCCCACACTCAGAGCTCCCAGCCCCAATGAGGGCTGTTTGGACCCCTGGGATCTGCTCTCTGCAGGGCCCATGCCCAGGCATCCGAGAAGTCCTCACTCCAGAGGCCCTGCAGGGTCTTCGGGTTCCCAGGCAGCCCCTGAGCCAAATCTGCTCCCTGCTGCAGCCCCTGAGCTGAGGAGGGGCCCTGCCTGAGTCCGGACAGACCCCTCCTGACCACTCCTTTTGGGGAGCGCAGGGTCAGAAAACCCACCCTAAGTTATATCTCCTAAGACAGTGCCCCTGGCCACTGCCCGCCCCCAAGCACTCACGGCCTTACCCCTGCACCAGCCTGCCCTGCCCCTTCCCACGCTCACATCCGGTCCATCCAAAGCGAAGGACAGGGGGTCCTGGGCCTGCAGGGCAGTGACCAGGCCGAACACGAGGGTGAGAAACAAGGCTTTCATCTCCAGGGCTCTGTGCTCACGGTCACCAGCGGGCGGGTCACCTGGGGCTCTGGACAAGGCTGTGCAGGCTCCCCACAAGGCCGCCCTTTATATCCCTCAGGTCCTGGCCCCTGAGCACCTGGCACAGACCATACCCCTCCCAGCCGGCATCGAGGCCAAATGGGATCTGATGAGTGGTGATTAGTGTCACAGAGAATAAAGGTCATAATGCCTTCCGTGTTTACACCTTCCAAGGGCGCCCACTCTCAGGTGAGCCACCTGGGGGAGGACAGTATCAGAATGACAGCATGGGCATGTGTGCCCTTGGAGCCCCAGAGGGGAGGGCATGGCTTCGGTACCCTCCCCCACCTGCCCCTCCCAGCCCCCAGGGCTGGGTCTCCAGGAGGTTCTCTGGAACATCACCTGCTGTGGAGAAAGGGGCTAAGCTTTAGAGATGGAAGTTGGCAAGGGGCCCGGGTCCCCAGAACCCCAGCTCTCACCTGGCCCCCCCCCGTGTTTGCTCCTCAGGCTGGGCCGTTCACCCAGATCTTCGGGGGGCTGGGGGCTGTTTCATGACTCAGGATCAGCTGAAGTATTGCCTCCTCAGAGGGGCCTCCCCAGATGGCCCCCCACCGCTTCATTCCGGCCTGTGGCTGGCCGGGGGTCTCCTGCAGAGGACACTCCTCTCCGAGTTGTCCTGCCCACTTTCCCACTGAGAGAATTGAAGTTCCTGAGAGGAGGGGAGGATGCCTGTGGTTGGTTCTCAAGTTTGTCACTGTCACCTCTGTAGGGATGAGTTGCCATCGAGGTAGGCGGCCCCTGCTGTTTGTTGCCTAAAGGAATAAACCTGTTACTGACTCTCTTGGAGCTTCTGAGGATTCATCTCCCATTGGGGGGACCCATAATTTCTCCCCCTTTAGATTGTCGTGCACTTGCTGAGGGTACAGGTGAGTCCCCCCACCCCTGCCTGCTCCTCGGGTTCCTACCAGCCTCAGTGAACCTGGGGTGCCTCCTGCTTTCTGCCTGGAGTGGGCCCCGGGGACCAGGTGCCATCGGAACGTGTCCAAACCCACATGTGACTCCCTTCACATTCATTCTTCTAGAACTCCCACCCAAAGTGCTTCCCCTGCCCTTTGTCAGCTTTGACCCCTCACATCCCCCCAAGAGAGACCTCAGAGAATCTCATTCCTTCTGGATAAGTGGCTGAGAGGCCACTTGCGGGCCTGTGCTCAGAGTTGATAGCTCTGCCAAGCTCAGCCCCAGCTGCCCCCTGACCAAGAACTTGGCCTTCTCCCTCCCTGACCCTGTAGTTCTTGGGCCCGAATCATCTTCCTGGAGACTCACAGCTGACCCAGGCCCTGTAGGCAGGTGCCGAGGCCACACAAGGCTTTGTGCTTCTCTGGCCCAAGATTGACACCACTGTAGACTGCACGCCCCCAGGTACTCACTAAATTATAATAAGTGCTCCCTAATTAGCCCTGGGGCGGAGGCTCTGACTCAGTAATTAGCTCCCAGCTCCAAGGTGCTGCTGTGCAGAAAGGCAGCCCTCCTGGGGAGGGCGGGGCCATGCACCTCGGACCAGGGATTAGTAGCTACACTTCGGTCTCTATCAATGAGGCGGCTTTCCTGGCCCCTGTGACTGTACCCCAGAGATCTGCTATTTCACTTGTTATATGGGAGTCACTGATCTTAGCATCTTAAGACACAGGCAGATTTAATTCAGTTCTTGAAAATGATGGTAGAACAGCACGCGGGGATCACTGGGACAACAGGCTGCCCCCATGAACCTAGACTTATGCCACTGGACTCCAGGGGCCTCCCATCACCCACAATCTTGCCCTGTGCCCAGCGGCCTGAATTCTACCAAGTTCTCCAGTTGTGGTTTTTTTGGATATTCGATGTGTTCAACTGGTGTTAGACACCACTGGGAGGCAGTGGGGCAGAGGAGGGGAGAGCCTTCCCTGCCCCCAGTGCCCCCTGGTTTGAGGCGTTTCCCTGGATGGCGGCATCCCTATGATGGTAGTTTCCTCCGCAGTGCTAGCTCTCGCCACTCTGACCACCTGCCCTTTGAATCTCAGGTGGTCACGGCTCCTCAGGGCTGCTACTTGCCCAGGGTCTCTGGGCTTTCCTGGGCATTTGGGTAGAAGAAGGTTTTGATGGCAGCACCAAACAAACACCAAGGCCAGAGGGTGTGCTGGCTGGGGCCAAGGGGCAAGTTGGAGGGGTAGGAAAGGAGGAGGCAAGGTGACTATCCATCAAGGTCAAAAGAACACCTGGGCCCGGCCGGGCGTGGCTCAGCGGTTGAGTGTCGACCTGGGATCCAGGCGATCGGGGTTCGATTCCCGGTCAGGGCACATGCCCGGGTTGCCGGCTCGATCAATGACTCTCTCATCATTGATGTTTCTATCTCTCTCCCTCTCCTTTCCTCTCTCTGAAATCAATAAAGATATATTAAAAAAAATAAAAAAAAAAAGAACACCTGGACACTGGCTTGTTCCACTAACCGTCTATTTTCATTAGTTTAGAGATGGTAGCTGGCCACCACCCTGAAGCCTCGGTTCCAGGATTTGCCAGAACGAAGGTGATTTGGAGTAAGAGTGTGTCAGTGCAAGGGGTGGANAAAGAACACCTGGACACTGGCTTGTTCCACTAACCGTCTATTTTCATTAGTATAGAGATGGTAGCTGGCCACCACCCTGAAGCCTCGGTTCCAGGATTGGCCAGAACGAAGGTGATTTGGAGTAAGAGTGTGTCAGTGCAAGGGGTGGACTGTGGTTGGTGATTCCGACAACACACCCTCGGCCCACCTGCAGCTGGAGTAAACGATTCCCTCACACTGACAGGCCAGTGCCTCCTGCCTCAGGTGCCTGCATTCTCTCCTCTTCTGTGCTTCCCTGACACATGTGTGAGACCAGATGTGCGGGTGAATTAACATACTCAGTTCAAAGGGATGGTAACCGAATGGCTAAATGTCCTGTTCCCCAGTGGGACAATCTGAGATGGTTCTGCTCTATTTCTGAGAGGGTCTGCAGGGGGACCGAGTCCCATGGCTCACAATGGAAACCTCATTAACATTCCCTTTTGTGGGTTTTCAACTTTCTCCACCTCACGTGATTTCAGACTTCTGGCTTCTAGAACAGGGAGAGGATGTTCATCCTCTGTGTTTTAAGCCACCCAGTTTGTGGATCTTTGTTACAGCAGCCCCAGGAAATAAATACAGGCCCTAACATAATAATTATGTCAAATGTAAATGGACTAAATACACAAACTAGAAGACAGGGATTTGCAGAGTGGATTAACTACCATGGTACAACTACATGCTGTTTTCAAAAAACTTACTTCAAATATCACAGTAGAGGCAACTTGGAAGTAAAAGCATGGAAAAAATAAAAAAATAAGTAAGTGAATTATGGTCCAGTTATCAGTGGATTGTCTCTGTGATGCAGCATTAATGGATTTGCCCTCCACTGTTCGGCAGTAATGGAGCTGGACTAGTAGGCATTCCTCTTTTGCACCTGGCATGAGTTAAGCTTTGTTAGTAGAAATCTTAGGACAAAGGGACTTCCCTCCTGGTTCCAGGGTATTTCCATTTTTTCTTTTTCTTTCTCCCACTCTACGACTAGCAGTGGCACATGGAGGGCGTGTCCATAGGTCCCTACCCACACTGAACACAGAGGATCCCCCCGGATGGCTTCCTATGGAGATTCAGTGGCGCCCTGGCCCCACAAGTGGGTTCCCAGTGAATCCTACAGGCTTCCCAGTCTCAGCCCACCTGCCCCTGAGAGGGGAGAGAGGCCTCCTGCTTGTCAACCATGTTTCCCTACCTGCTGGCCTCTGCCCTAACCATGGACCAGTTCTGGCCCTGGGCAACCAGCAGACTTCTCCACCATCCCTAGGGTGGCAACCACACCTTCTCCAACAAGGTATGAACCCACCCTGTGGTGGGGGGGAGTCCCCTCCCAAATTTGTTTATTTCTTAGCTACTCTACTGTAATCCTGGGCTAGGCTCTATAGTTCCCTCTACACTTTTATATTTCATTGTTTATTGTATAACTTATTCCTGCTCAATCTATTGTATGGTTTCTGCATAGTGATTGAATGCTGGTTCACATAATTATATATTTTTAAAGGGGGTCAGTGCCAAGGGGAAAAGTCAAAGTGGGACAACTTGAATAGGGAGTGTTGGGACAAGGGGGTACTTTGTGTGTTAAATGGCATGGTCTGAGACAGCCTCAGGTGACATTTGAACACAGAATTAATAATAGTGAAGGAAATGAGGAAGGAAAGTGGGAGGAACATCTAGTGAGTCTCTAGGTGGGACAGTGTCTGGAATGTGCCAGGATCATAAAGGAGGGCTCTAACCAACTGAGCCACACTGGCCAGGGCAAATTGTACATGTTTAAAAAGTGGATATTATGGTAAATAAATTGTATCTAAAATTTTAAAAATTTAAATCACCTCCTCAAAGAGACCTCCCCAGACCACACCAGGACAAGATGTCCCATCACCACACCTTGCTCTTTTCACTCTGCTGCTTCCTTGCCATATTCTACTCAGGACACATTGTACCCTGGGGTGATCTTGCTCATTTACTACAACCTTATTGATTATCAGTTGTCATGTGTGGTAGATTAATAATGGCTGTCCCCAAAGACATCCACATCCTAATCCCCAGAGCTTGTAAACATGTTATCTTAGATGGTAAAAGGGACTGTGCCAATGCGATTAAGCTCCTTTAGATGGGGAAATTACCAACCTCTGTGGGTATCTGGAACTTTCATGAGCTCATACTACCTAGTGCAGACAGGGACTACAGGAGAGAGGCCACAGCGTCTCCTGTATAACTTAGGGTGCCTGCCAGTGAGTGGCCCCAAGAGTTCTATAGGCTCACAAATTTTCTGTTGGCTTTAGTTCTCCATCAATGACCCACAGTGCTCCTGGGAAAATTCTTTTCACTCCCTGGAGGTCCTGTAGATGAGAGAGAGGCTCAGGGGATTGGTGGATGAGGAGATGGGTTAAGAAAGGATGTGCCCCGCATGGTACATGGCACCCAGGGTGCAGGGAAATATTCCCTGTTGGGAGCCCTTATTTGGAATTAGGTGGGAGTCATTGTTCCGGCTGAGGCAAGGATGCTTCATGAGTAAAGACAACCCCAATGGGTAGACAGGGAGAGAGGGGAAGGAAGGCCTCCCGCGTCCCTCGTGCTGTGTGTGGTGCTCCTGGGTCCCACAGGGAACCTGGGGGGCCTGTCTTGCTTTGTGGTGTCCTTGCCTGGGGCTGCAGTTCCAGGGCTGGCCACAAGGGGCGGCCTCCCAGGTAGATGCAACTAACTGGAGCAGGAAGGAGTCATGCGGGGGTCACGCAGGCCGTCCCGCAGCCTCGGAACCAACTCGCACCTCCCATTGCTAGCGTTGGTCTCCAAGCCTGAGCTGGTCCAGAGCGGGAGGGAGGGCTCCAAGATCCTCCCTCTTACTCATTCAGCAGCGAAGCACCAAGCCCTCACCCCGGGTGGAAGCCCCGATGTTTCCAAGGGTGATGCTGAGAACGACCCAGGGCCCCTGTCCACCAGGAGCTCAGTCTGGAGGGAGAGGAACAAAAGCTCAAAATCAGAGACCGGTGAAGAAAAGAGCACTGCTAGGGGGAAAACAGTGCTGCAGGGGGTACCTGGGTCGGAAGGTTCGAAAGTCCTTACTAAGTGACATTTGCTGTGGCCAGAAAGACAAGAGGGCCCTGAACACGTCAGGGAGAGGGCACCCCTGGTGCAGACAGCAGGCACTAGTGAGTTTGGCCAGAGGCCTCAGTCTGTCCATCATCAGGAAGGGTGGGCGGGGCTAGGAGGTCCCAAGCCCCACTCGCCCGGGCCTGGCCTAGGTCCGAGCAGTTTTCTGTGCGTGCCCTGCCCCCTGGTGGGCGCTGGCGGTAGCGCAAGGTGAGAAGAGCTGAGGATAGGGAACTGGGGGCTTTTTTTTTTTTTTAAAGAATAGTTTATTTTTATTTTTTTAAAAAGTTTAAAATATCTTCATTGATTTCAGAGCGAGGAAGGGAGAGAGAGAGAGAGATAGAAACATCCATGGTGAGAGAGTCACTGATCGGCTGCCTCCTGCCAGCCCCCTNAGAACGACCCAGGGCCCCTGTCCACCAGGAGCTCAGTCTGGAGGGAGAGGAACAAAAGCTCAAAATCAGAGACCGGTGAAGAAAAGAGCACTGCTAGGGGGAAAACAGTGCTGCAGGGGGTACCTGGGTCGGAAGGTTCGAAAGTCCTTACTAAGTGACATTTGCTGTGGCCAGAAAGACAAGAGGGCCCTGAACACGTCAGGGAGAGGGCACCCCTGGTGCAGACAGCAGGCACTAGTGAGTTTGGCCAGAGGCCTCAGTCTGTCCATCATCAGGAAGGGTGGGCGGGGCTAGGAGGTCCCAAGCCCCACTCCCGGGAAGCCCGGGCCTGGCCTAGGTCCGAGCAGTTTTCTGTGCGTGCCCTGCCCCCTGGTGGGCGCTGGCGGTAGCGCAAGGTGAGAAGAGCTGAGGATAGGGAACTGGGGGCTTTTTTTTTTTTTTAAAGAATAGTTTATTTTTATTTTTTTAAAAAGTTTAAAATATCTTCATTGATTTCAGAGCGAGGAAGGGAGAGAGAGAGAGAGATAGAAACATCCATGGTGAGAGAGTCACTGATCGGCTGCCTCCTGCCAGCCCCCTACGGGGGATCGAGGGCGCAACCCCGGCACGCGCCCTGATCTCCCGGATCCTAGGTCGATGCTCAACCTCTGCGCCTGGTTTTACTGATTTTTAGACAGGAAGGGAGAGGAGGAGAGAGAAACACAGATGTCCTAGGGCGCAGACCGGACAGATGGCTAGTGGAAGGCTGGGCCCGGGGACCCCGCGCGGGCTGGGACTCCGGGGCGGGTCTGCGGGCAGTGGGAGGAGCTTGGGTCGTGGAGCTCCGGAGCCAGCGGGACTAGCGGCGGGTGGTGGGCGGGCGC